CAAAACCAATTTTTAAAAACTTCTTAAAAATTTTAGCAGGCAAATTTGCCTGCTAAAATGGACGGTTTAAGGGATAGAAGTACGAAGTATAGCTAATAACTAATATTCAAATTATATGTTCCTAGTTTTCATATTGCTAACAAAGTTGTCGAAAGATAAAGTGGTAGTTAATAATCACGATTGAGATATATAATGGTATAAGTATTACGATTGAAATTATTATCAAATATGTTTCAAACATATATCGAAAGTTATAAGAGTTAAAATTTGCAGTAAAAATCACAAGAATAACTATGGTAAAATATCAGTGTTTAAATACATTTTCGAGTAATAGTATGTTTCATTTTTCATGGTATAATATAAAAATTTCGATTGTTGTGAGAATAATACATTCTCTGAATTAACTATCCCTAATAATCAAAGCTTTTTTATTAAAACTTGATTGTTTTTGCGAATTTTGGCGTTGTTTTTAATCGTAGTACAATTATAGTGAATGCTGTGGATTCCCATATATGTTAAATTTTGGTCAATCTGTGTAAATAAATATTCGATTAAATTGATGGTTTAATTTTTCTAAATTGGTCGATGATAATCATCGGCAGATTTTTCAAATAACATGTACACCGGATGCTTTACTATAGCTCTTGGCGATGAATTGTGATATAACGTTCACAGGTAATTCGGGTTTTTAGCCGAATTGTTTTGTTCATCACTATCATATGGTGTTTTGTATTCTTCAAAAATTTCTTGATTAGGAAATTGTTCTTAGATACGATTATTGGTAATCTTTCCTTTTATGGTCCATTCTTCTAAATAACTTGGTATATATTTTTCGAATATTTTTTCTTTAAAGTATTGGATCGATGGAGTCCATATCTGATAGTTCATTTGTTTCTTTGTCATCCATTGAGGTGAATATATATTATTGGGTTCATTGTAAGTTATTTGAGAGTATAAGTGCGGTAATACTAGATATAGATACATTGCTATTTCAACGTAATATGGTGATTTTGTATAATCACTATCATTGGTTGTTGCTGGTTGAGTTCCAGATCTATTATAAAAAAGATATCTGTGTACTTTGATGAATTGTAATCGTTCGGGTTTCATTTTGAATTTTAATTCTTCAATAATTTCTTGTGTAATACAATTCCAATATGTTTTATCATATTCTTCAAAGTGTCCTCTGAATCCTGAATGTTTTTCTGGATATATTTTAGCATTTTTGGATCGTTTTGCTATTAAGACTTCAATAGATTCATCTGATAGTTTTTTTTCTCTAAATAAAGTAATGACCGTGTATCATCTTTTTATTAAATTTCTTATTTGTTCTGATTTTAATGTTATTTCTTCAGGTCTTTTTGCGATTTCTTTTGCACTATGAATGAATAGTGATCGAAATATATTTTCTGGTTTTGGTATCTCTGTTGATACTTCAATATATTTTGGGTATATTTCTTGGATCATTTCCTCATACATGTCATATATCTCGTATAGATATTGTTTATCTATATCTTTTTCTTCCTGTTGGTTTCTTTTAGCCTGTCTTCTAATCATTTCTTCTTTTTCACATTTGATATATATTTGGTAACTGTACTGCTCACTTCACTGACAATTATTTCACCGAAGGTTCACTTAGCCGACATCACATAGAGTTAGGATTAGAGTTTTATTAGTTGCATGTATATATTTTTAGTAAATTGGCACTCGGTGTGATGTCGGCTAAGTGAGCTGTCGGTGAAATGATTGTCGGTGAAGTAAAGTGGATCCTTTGGTAATATGTATCTTTATATATTTGTGTTTCCATTTGATAAAGAAGTTTTTCTAATAATTGTAACTCTTCTGAGTTTTCAATATTATGTTTGGTGAATACTTTTGTTTCGACTGCAGTTCGGTCGCATATGATGATAGTGTTTTCATCAATAACTTTTTCCAGTTCGAGTCTTTTTAATTTTTGATAATTAATATTCCATTGTGTTATTAACAGTACTTGGAATGCTAATGAATATTTACTAATGTCGGAATACATTAAAGAAAGCCAATCCTTATGTTGTAAAGTGATTTCTTCCATTAAGAATGCTTTGTATCCTATCTGAATGAGGAATTCTTTAAGTTGTAGGGCCCATGTGGTCTTTTCTACTCCTATTGCTCCTCCAATTGTTATTAATTTTGCTTTGAGCAAATTCTCTTCTAAATAATTATCGAATTGATCGAATTTTGTTAATTCATTTGTTAAGGTTTTTTGGTAGGGATTATTTCTTCTTTGGTTATAAAGGTATTCCATGCTTTGTCTTTGGTTATAAAGGTACTTTAGGGTTTGTTCAATTATTTTAAATTCATCATTATTTAAACACTTTATTTTATCTAAAGTATTCTTCCTTCTTTCTTGATCCTGTTCTACTTCTCTGATTAGTCTTTGATCTTGTTTATTTACTAAATCAAGATATATTTGACTACCATTTATTTTTTCTAACTATTGTTCCGGTTTTGGAATTATAATTTGAAGAGTTTTATTTTTATCATTCCCAAAGATTACTTTTTTTCCAAATCTTTAAGGATTCTCATTTCTTCGGTTTTAATTTCTTCTAGAATTTTGAATCGATTTTCATTTTTCTTTTGTTCTTTCTTTTGTTGTTTTTGTTCTATTCGTTTTAGTCCTGTTCTGTTTGTATTGGTAATTCGTACCAATAATTCTAATTCTTTTGACCATTTCTGGTAATGGTTTTGATCTTTAAACCATAAGGTCTTGAAGGTTTGTTCTTTCAATTCCATTTCTTCAGATATTGTTGTAATATCTTCTTGATTTTTTCTAGTCAGGGTTACTTCTAAGGTCATTTTTCTATTCCAAATATATTCGACTAGTTTTGAGAGTTCTCTGTTCTTTTTCATTTCTTTCCATAAAAATTTTTCTAGTTCATCATAACCGGGTTTTATTAATTTGATTAATTTCGGATATAAAAATATTTCAAATAATATATAATGGAGTTCTTCTTTAGATCGGTCATTAAAACTAAAGTAGTTTTTATTGAATTTTTCGAATATTTGATTAATATTTTCAAGATTTCCATTATTCTGAGTCTTCTGAATCTGCTTCTGTGCCATCTTTAGATTGTCTAAGATGTTCTGTTTCATCAATTTCTTTCTGGATTATCCTGGAGATTTTAGTCAATCTTTTAATTATTCTTTCATATATTTCTATTCTGGTGTCCTGCCAAAATATATCAGCAAAGTTTTTTGTAGTAACTATTTGTCCTTTAAGAATGGTTAATCGGTGAATATGATTATTTAATGTTTCGTTATTCTTTAAATATCATTTTCTGAATAGTTTCTGTCAGAATCTACTGTAGGGTTGATTCCGTTTTTAAATTGTTGACAAAGCTCACAAATAGTTATTTCTTGTTTATTGTCAGAGAATTCTAATAATTCTTGATCAATATTTTCAATTAAATTTTTTAGGCTTTTAATTATATCGTTTAAAGTATCTCTTGTAAGAGTGGCTTCTATTTCAAGGTTTAATATTTGATATGTTGATGATACTGCTATCACTGCGTATTGTTGGAATATTAGAAACCTATATTCTGCTTCTGTTAAGTCTTGTTTAGATAATTCTGTTTTATAATTAAAACTTTTTTGTGTATATCGAAGTATCTGTATAAGATGTTGTCTTATTTGTTTGAGTACTTCTTGGTCTGTTCTTTCAATTAAAGTAGGTCTTCTTTTACTCATCAAGATCTAGTTCTGATAATAATATATCAATATTTCTTCTGATATTTCCGATTAATTGTTATAGCGTAATCGGCGTTGTCTTGAGTAGTCAATGGTTTAGGTTTTAATAAAAGATCTTGGATATCTTGAATTAATTCACTTTTTAGGTAAAGCCTGAACATAGTATTGTAATGCGGCTTTTGCTAATAGAAATGGTTTATTGCTTTCTTCTATTTGTAATAATGCAGTATTCAATAAATTTGCTAGTAGGCTTTTGATTCCTGTTAATTCAAAAGCGGTGATTTTCTTGACGGTCATTTTGTTGTCTTCAAACTGTTCAATGAAATTGTTTTCTGTTATCATTAATATTAATTAAGGTTGATGAGAAGAAGGTAAAGTATCTCTTCTTCAGTTAATTGTTTGGTTAAAAGTTGTATGGTTGTCCAAGTAATATAATTGATTATTTCTTGGATCATTCACTTTTTCTTTTGTGGTCCAACTTTTGCGGTTTGAATAAAATAGGATTCGTCGTCTAAGTCAGTTCCTATTGGTGCAGAATATTCGTTGGGGCAATATCCTGGTTTATATCAAAAAAGATTATAAAAACAGTTATTAAGTCTAATAATATCATGAGTTGCTTTTTGTTTAAATTCTTCAAGTTCTTGAATTTGTTGTTGGAGTTTTTCAATAAGGTCTTTTTGATTATTGTTTTCCATTTGCTCATAATGAGTGAGGTTTTGATTCGGGTTAATCAAAGGTATTTAAATAATTTTTCAATTTGATAGTCCAGCTATCACGATTATTAATCTTGTCGTTATTGGTTTGATTTTTAATCAAAAGTTTTGTTTTGTTTATAAGATAGATGAGGATTACTAATTTTGTTTATGTTAGATAAGAAGGATATTACTAATACGTGTTTTGGCGTTGTTTGTTACACAGATAATTTGTTTTGGTCTCGTGTGTACGCCCCTTCCTCGCGTATTACAGTCATTCTCTTCTCTATTTAGAGTAAATACTATAATATTCATTAAGAGTAATTTGTACTCCAATAAGTATTACATGGAATGTCCTCAATTTTATTACAAATTATTGATTATTAATTAACTATCTATTTGTCAGATGCTTATTCATTGACAATTATCATTGGGGTTTTTTCATTATATCCTTCATTTTGATTAGTAATTGGTTGTGGTGTTAGCGATCTTCCTCGACTTTTTTCTCTTTCTATTGCCCTATTAATGATTTTATGTTGTCCACTAATTCTATATACTGTATTATTGAATTCTTCTTGATCATCCAAGAGTTCGGGTTCTTCTTGAAGCTGATTCTCCATTCTATAATATCGGTTGTAGTCTTGTGATATTGCTATGGATATCTTATCCTGAAAATATCGAATTTTATCCAGTAAGGTCCAATATTGAGTATTTCTATATTCAATAATATTTTTTAATTCATTAATTTGTTCTGATTGGTTTAATACAATCTGTTCCAATCTTGTCACTCGTTGTTTAGTGCTAATGAATTCTTCAGGTTCTATCGGAATTTCTTTCTGTTCAATAGTTATATCTGGGTCATAACATGTATATTCTTTATAGAATCCATCATATATTTTGTTACATTGAGTACAATATTTATGTGAATGATGATCGCATTCTCCGCATGTTTTGCATTCATGATTCCATTCTTGAAAGATATGCCATCTTTCAATGTATTGTTTGAATAGTGATATTGTTCTTGGTCATTTTCTAATTTCTGATGGTCCTGGTGTTGGTGTTCGTCTTTTAATTTCCTGTGGTTGTAGCTTCGGAAATTGTTCTTCGTAGCAGTGATTACACATTAGTCTACTGATTTCTTTAGGTAATTCGAGTTCATGTTCATTGTTACAATATTTACAATATCGTAAATGATTGTTTTCTTTATCATAACAATGTTGTGTACAATAAGTTCGTTCAACTTCGATTATTTGATTGTCTTTTTCTTCTTCCTCAAAGACAAATACAAAGTCACTATTATCATCTCATTCATTATCATTATTGATGTTTATTGGTGTTAAACATCCGTTACAATATAGATATCCATTTAGATAATGTTTTTCTAAGTTTTCATGTACTTCTAATGATTCTTTGACTTTGTTTAAATATTGGTTGAACAATAATTCCATTACTTTTTTAAGTTCTTTATAATTTTCTTAATATTGAGTTGAGCTTTTATTGTACAAATCCTGTTCGAAGTGTCGTAGAACTTCTTGTTTAGTTAAAGATTTCTCTTCTAATTCTTTTTCGGTATATATTTTATATACTCGATATATTTTTGATATGTTGAGATCATATTGGGATCCTTAAGATTTTGTTGAATAACAGTAGTGGTGTATTCTTTCTTCTAGTTTGTAATTTGGATTATATTTA